TACAAGGGCCACTGGACTGAGCTGGAGTGCTCTAGAGGGAGCTCAAACAATATAAGGAGGGACTGAGTTACAACTGGTTGCAGAGATACAGGGATAACCTGACCAGCTCCCCACCTGCCCAGATTCCCAAAAGAAAGCATGTATCTTCAGGGAGTATCTAACAGAAAGCGACACCAAGAACATGCTTTCTTACATCACCTGGTGAGCACACTTCCTAGCTAGTGCCTGCTAAAACTTGGATTAGGAGGGCCCTAATCCAAGCCTCTCATTGTGTACTTCAGCAAACATACCCAGAGAGGGAAACCATTCTGCCCAAGCTCATATCACAAGCCAGTGGCAGCCAATGGCTTGAGCCTGCACCTGACCTTCAGTGTAGGGCTAATCCTCCCCGCACCCCACAGCTCCTTCTTACCAAGCCCACTCCCTCATCCAAAACCTTGGGCTCACCTCCTGGTTCTAAGGATCCTGCCAGGTTGAACAATGCTCAGAAGCAGGTGGCAATTTAGCAATTCATTCAGAGGGACCTGGGGCTGTGCCCATCCCCGGTGGCAAGGAGAGACTGCAGTAAGAGACTGCAGTGTGGAACTTTGAAAGGCCTCTCTTCTCTAAAGAATCCTCCTCTTCCTCTTCCTTCTCCTCCTCCTTCTCCTCCTCCGTAGTACTACAGACACATGTGCTTTACTTGGGAGGAGGTACAGAGGAGAGTGTGGATGTGTAAGGAGGAGAGTGTGGACGTTTATTGGAAGAAGGGCAACAATCTGCTGGGCCCTGCTGTATACTCACACCTAGCAGAAGAGGAACAGCAAAAAGAGAGACAGCTCTAACTGCTTCCACAAAATTATTAACCCTTGTGCTCCAGCTCCGCTCCTCAAACAGCTGAAGCAAGAGAAACAATACACTTAACCAATGGAGCGCCAGCCAAAGCCATTACATCATCGGTCAGCACCATCATTGGCTAATAATTCCTAGAAGGCAAAATTCTGCTTCTAAGTGCTTAACCCTTTCATGCTCAAAGAGGATTTGTTTTAAACCAATGCTTCCTGAACTTGCTTTTATCAGACTCATCCAGGGTGCTTTCTAAACATACAGATCATCATTTTTCACTTCAAGCCATCTAAATCAGAACCTACAAAGGAAGCATGGATATCTGTATTTTAAATGGCGTACACAGTGTGGCAACCACTGATCAACTCAGAAACTCTTCATCTCATTTATTCCCTGCACTGAACAATGGTCCATATCTCAAGTATAAAAAGTCAAGTTAAGAGAGGATAAGTCACTTGAGAAGGAGATGGAGCCTTGCTTTGAAAGACAGGCTGTTTGGACTTGCCCTTGCTACCCCTTTGAAGCCCCTGCTTGAAGTCAAACCAAGCCATTTATTTACTTATTGCCTCTAGAGTCACAGAAAATGTGGACTCTCTTGATGAGCTGGAACATGCCAGGAACCTGGGATGAATGGGGAAATGAAGACGATGGCATATTATTCTGTTTCTTGGGCTCATTCCTTCTGTGTCTGTTGCAAATTCACCTTAACCATCAATTTCTCCTGGAAGCCTTCCCCAACCACCCAGCAAACCCCAAACCTGGGATAGATGCCCCGGCTCTGTGCTCTTAATGTGTCCTGTAGTCATGGGCTGCAGTTGCTTGCTTACTGGATAAACTCCATGAGATTAGAGCCATGTCTACTTTCTCCACTAACATATACCCAGACAGTGCCTGCCACATGTGAATACTCAATCATGACTGAAAGAAGAGAGGGAAAGTGTTTGCCGAATTTCTAAATGGCATCATGCTGAGGTGGGAAAGACAAAGGACTGGAAGTCCGGAGACTCAAAGAAATAAACTGATTTTGGGCAAGTTCGTTTGGACAGGGGAGATGGGGTTGATGTCCTTATCTAAAAATGAGGACAAAAGCACTCTCCTATGAATAGTTACAAATATCAAATTAAAGAACGATCCAGGCTCTGATTTTTCTCCTCCTCTCTCTCTCCCGCTCGAACTCATCCATTTTATTGGCTGACATCTAAGTGCTGACAATTGCCATATTTATATCTTCAGCCCAGACTCCCCTCCTAGACTCCAGACTCACAGCCAATGTCTGTCTCTATATGGATGTCTTTTGGGCATCTCCAAGAGAGTATTTAAATTGTGTATCCTCAGCACAACCTGCTCCTAGTCTCTACTATGTGAATAGTACTACCGCACACTCAACCTTTTGTTTTGTTTGTTCTGTTCTGTTTTTTCCAATTAGGTGAAATTTACATAACACAAAGCCAGCCATTTTAAAGTAACAGTGCATTTACTACCCTCATGATGATGAGCAAACTGTCACCTCTATCTAGTTCTAAAACATTTTCATCACCCCAAAAGGAAACCACTTAGACATTAAGCAGTTAAGCCCAGTCCCACCCTCCCCTCAGAACAGCACAAACACCAATCTGTTTTCTGTCTCTATGAATTTACCTATTCTGGGTGTTTCACATAAAGGGAATCACACAATATGTAACCTTTTGTGTCTGGCTTTTTAAGCACGTTTTCACATAGTATTTTTAAGGTTCATCCACCTTGCAGCATGTATTAGTACTTCACTCCTTGTTATGACTGAGTAAATTCCATTGTATGTTATACTACATTTTGTTTATTCAGTCACTTAGTGTTGGAGCTGCCAGACTTTTGATATCCAACCAATCTTAAATCATAAGCCTGGCCACCATCCTTCATCCCCCGCTTTCCTGTATTCTCTGCATTTAAAGTATCAGCAAGTCCTGTCCATTTTGCTTCCTAAATAGAGCTCAAATCCTTTTACTTTTCTCCAACACTATTACTGTCCTCTAGCCCAGACACCAATATATCTCTCACCTAGCTTGTAACTGTGACAAGATCTCATTCTTTTTTCTCTCTATTCCACTTCTCAGCTGGTAGCTGAGATGGGCTCCTTTTAAAACATAAAACAGATCATCCATTCATTTAAGCACTATTTACTAAGCACCTTGCTTCAGGGAGTTTGCCTCCCAGAGGCATAACAGACAACACACAAATATACATTATTATATCAGGTCATTACTAGGCTTAAAATCCTTCAATGATTCATTGTACTTTAGATAAAAATCTAAGCTTAGCATGGCCTCTAAGACCCCATCACCTTCAAACTCAGGCCACTCAACACAATTTGCCCACTACAAACCCCAACCACAATCAATGGGCTCCATTCCACCTCATGGTACTTGAACAAGCTGTTCTTGCTGCCTCTTGATCTTGGCATTGCTGGATCTTTCTCATCCCCCAGATCTCAGAGTAAATATCACTTCTTTAGGAGACCTTCCCTAACTATCCTGTTAAGCACATCCACCCTTCATTCATTTCACTCATTTAAGAAATATGTGCTAAACCCTGTACTAGGCTCTTGGGACGAAGCAACGTATGATCCCCTGGAGCCTGCAGTCTAAAGGGGAGGGCCAACAACAGGAAAGTACATAAAATAGATAAATGACTGTTATGAAGGGAGAATAAAAGGGAGGGAGTACAGAAGGCATTTTCGAGAAGGTAATATTGAAACTGAAAGACAGGGAGTCAATTGGACATAGAGTCTTTTATTCTCTATCACATCCTGGCTATGCAATGTGATGTTTCATCCCTCAACATTTGCTTTTGACGAATCCAGGTATTTAATGTCTATCTCCTCTAACAGACTGAGCTTTCTCCCCAGCACCCAGGACAGCACCTACCCCTTGGAGACACTCAATACACACTCATTGATTAATTAGTAGATGAATGAATGGATGATTGATCAATCAATTCACCAATAAAAGCACTTTGGAAAGTGTTACAAATCATAGAGACGTGGGTGATTTTTATCATTATTATTATAATTATTACTTCGTGGCAAAGGACATCAACTCTGCTGGGTTTTGGAAAAGGCTGGGTTTACCATCAAATGGGAATAAAAGTACCTAAGTTGGAGTATTACTGGACAACTAGGAGAGGATGTGTATACATAATAGACACTCAAAAATGGGAAACAGTAGTCTTTGTGGCCATTATTATTAAAGGCTCCTCACAAAAGCTGACTCAACTCGAATTCCAAAACTCATTTTCAGTTGTAGTCATGAAATGTAAAGGTGAGAGAAATGAATACTTAAAAAATATCTACTACTGCACCAGACACATTACAAAGAACTACCTCATTTGTGAGGTAGGGCAGTAGATGCCCTGGGGCAGCTCTCAACCCCTCTCCAAGACCAACTCATGACTCCCCCATGTCCAGCTGCCAGACTGTTGGCTACTCCAGCTCCTAGCTGAGTCCCTAGTCAGGAACCACCTTGCTGAAAAGACATCCTAGCTCCCTCCCTAGAGCCAGGCTGTATCCACTGGCTGGTCAACAATAGGCTTCGAAGGCCTGGTCCCTTTGTCTCATGGGATGGATTGAAGCCTCTCTTGCACTGCACCATAGATCAGCACCTCCCTCTGCCAAATCCTTCTTCCCTTATCTGCACACAAACGTCAGAAGCGCCAAGTCTTTCTCCAGGGAACCCGAACCATGACAAGTAAGTATGATGATTTCCTTTTAAATCAGAAAAAGAAGGTTCACGAAGGTTGCTAATGTCCCCAGAGCCTATAACTAAAGTGACTTTCTGGTGTGATTTCCCAGCAAGCCCTTGTTCTTTCTACTACCCCAATCTACACACAGCCCCACCTTCAATGGCTGAGACCGAGTCTCTGCGAAACAGAAGGGGGAACCCAGGGAGAGGGGAAGGGCACACAGAGGGCCTGAAGATGAGAAAAGAAGTGCAGAGGCACCCTTCAAAGTCCTGATGACAAGACCGAGCTCACAGGCTCCAGAAACAATATCAAAATGATATGCAGGCTGCAGAAGCAAGCCTTACACGGGCATCATCTGAATTCATGTCCAGAAGCCAGGGAGCAGGGCTGCCGGGCAAAGGCGCCACCCTTAAGCGGGGAGAGTATCTGCAGCCAAGGTCCAGAAAGTAACTACAACTTACCAGCTTTCTGATGCTCCGGCCTCCATCCATTGTCCTCACAGCTGCCAAAGTGACCTGATCACTGATCAGAATTCTTCCACGGCCCTCCTTCACTCCAGGATAAAATTCTAAATATTCTAAGGTTGCACTTTAAGGGCTGTGCATGTTTTAGCTCCCTGCCATGTCGACAGCTCATTTCCTGCCTACAACAAGACTCGGTCCTTCTCCATTATCTGCTGCAGAATTATCTGATGTTCTAGGTCAGGAAACTGGACGTTTTCAGTTTCTTTACCTTCACACAAGAAAATCCACCTGGAATTTCTGCTCCCACCCCCAACACAGTTTTCAGCCTGGCAAACCCTCTGACTTCCAGTCAATGGTCACCTCCTCTCTGAAGCCTTCCTGGCTTCCTAACCGTCCTCTTCTCCATCTCGTGTCTTCCGCACTACCCTGCACTGCAATTGCTCCTCCTTCTGTCCCTCTTAGCCCCAGGGGCTCCCCAAGGCCATTCTTCATGCTGCTACGGCTTGGCACAGGGCCTGACACTCAGAAAGAGCCAAGTAAGTGCTGGATAAATACACGCGGTGCTGTATCCAGACCTATTCTCTGCTCCTAGCTTGGCCAGGGAACCACTGACATTTCATCCTGACTGGAAATCGGAAATGGCACAACAAATCTGACCCCCAACCCCAAGGCAACAGGTCATGAGGGGTCTGGGAACCTAAGGCAGGTGCTAGGAGCCGGCGCAGAGCAGAGGTCCAGACGCTGCGGTTCCCGGTTTCCCGCAAGCTCTTCCCTGGGCCGGGCGCTGGGTGGAGGCAGTCTTAGGATCCACAGTCTTGCGCGCCCCCGGCTCCCGGCCCGGCAGGCAGCCCCCGCACGCCGGTCTGTCTGTCCCAGGGTCCGGCCCAGGGCCCGGCAGCGGCAGCCTGAGGAGACACCGTGACGCGCGGCTCCTCGCCTCCCTCCCTTCCCCTCAGGGCGCCCGCGTCCCGCAGGGACACAGCCGGAGCTCCCGGGGACGTAGCCCCACGCGAGAACGCACCAGCAGCCCCCGCTTGGGGTGGGGTCTCCCGGCTGCCAGAAACCCCACAAAGTCTACTTTGCGGCGGCGCGCGGCTTACCGTGCGAGCCGCCAGGAACGCGGCGCCCTGTGGTGCCTCCGCGCGGCGCCAGCCAGTCGATCCGCTCCGGGTCCCGGGAGCTCAGCCTCTGCCCCTCAAGCCGCGCGAGCGCCTCCGCCCGGCGTCCCGGCCTCCCCGCGCCGCGGCGCCCCATTGGCTCGGGCAGCGAGGCCCCCGGACGGCCCCGCCCACCCGCGCCCACTCCCCCGCCCGCGCCTCTCCCCTGAGCCCTGCTGGGTTCACCTCTCCCGGCAGGGAAAGTTGCTTATACACTCTGAGCTCCCACCGGGCTCAGGAGCCCAGTTAGCTAATAATTCTGGATCCCAGGAGTGTCTAGACGCCTCTCGGGGAGTGCGAAGAGTGCAGTGTCCTTGGAATTCAGTTTTGAGAAAGTCAGCTGACCTCCCGGACCTCAGGTGGCGCCTAGGAGAAACCAGGGCTCCAGGTGAGCAAATGTCCCAGGCTGTGGGCGAGGGCTTAGGGCCAGAGTGCAAAAGGGAACAACACAAAGTCTACTGTCCTCGTGGAATTTGCATGAGTGGAGGTGGGGGTAGGTTATATATAACACACAAAAAAAGAGAATGTCGGCCGGGCGCGGTGGCTCAGGCCTGTAATCCCAACGCTTTGGGAGGCAGAGGCGGGTGAATCACGAAGTCAGGAATTCAAGACCAGCCTGGCCAAGATGGTGACACCCCGTCTCTATTAAAAATACAAAAATTAGCTGGGCATGGTGGCGGGCACCTGTAATCCCAGCTACTTGGGAGGCTGAGGGCAGAGAATTGCTGGAACCCAGGAGGCGGAGGTTGCAGTGACCCAAGATGGCGCCATCGCACTCCAGCCTGGGCGACGGAGCAGATTTCGTCTCAAAAAAAAAAAAAAAAAAAAAAAAAATCAAAACAAAGTAAGAGAATATCAGATTGTGATAAGCACTGTTGTTTCAGAGGTGCTGGGTTGGTGTGGGGGTGGCAAGTGGCAAGAAGGTGATTAAAAATAAGGAGCCAAGCGCAGTGGCTCATGCCTGTAATCCCAGCACTTTGGGAGGCCGAGGCCTAATTTTTGTATTTTTAATAGAGACGGGGTGTCACCATCTTGGCCAGGCTGGTCTTGAATTCCTGACTTCGTGATTCACCCGCCTCTGCCTCCCAAAGCGTTGGGATTACAGGCCTGAGATCAGATCAGGAGTTCGAGGCCAGCCTAGCCAACATGGTGAAACCCCATCTCTACTAAGAATACAAAAAAAAAAAAATTAATTAATTAATTAATTAGCTGGACACGGTGGCATGCGGCTATAATCCCAGCTACTCGGGAAGCTGAAGCTGGAGAATTGCTTGAACCTGGTCTGGGAGACGGAAGTTGCAGTTAACTGAGATCTGGCCACTGCACTCCAACCTGGGCAACAGAGCAAGACTCTGTCTCCAAAAGAAAAAAAAAAAAAAAAAGAAAGGGGTCTAGGACTGCTATAACTAGGGTGGTCTCTGGGCCAATAGTGCTATTCGAGCTCTCTTGAAGGACAAAAACGAGTCCAGGGCTGAAGCAGGAGCATTGCTGACAGAGGAGTTGGCAGATGTCTGGTTCTGAGGCTGGAACTGGACTCCAGGGTTGTTGAGTGAGGTGAGCAAGAGGAGAGTGGGTTATGGCCACAGAGGTAGACCGGTGTGGAGGTGTGGAATCACTATCACCAAGAACCTTGTAGGCCACCGTGAGGATCAGGGCTTCATCATGTCAGTCTGGGGAGAACACAACTCAGGCAAGAGATGATGCTGATGAAGACCAAGGTGGTGACAGAAAGATGGAGAAAAGATGGACCCACTGAAATGTGTGTCAAGAGTAGCACAGAAAGGCTTGATGATGGATGAGGCTGGATTTAGGAGATGCTATGGTTTTAATATCTCTCCCAAAGTTCTTATGTTGGAAACTTAACCCCCAATGCCACTGTGTTGAGAGGTGGGACCTTTAAAAGGCGATTCTATTAATGCCAGGAGTGGCCCTCTCAACACCCCTCTGCTGCTCTCTTGTTCTGCCTTGTGCCATGGGATGACTCAGAAAGAAGGCCTTCACCAGATTCAGCCCCTCAGTCTTGGGTTCCCCAGCCTCCAAAGCCATCAGCCAAATAAAGTGGTGTTCCTTATAAATTACCCAGTCTGTGATATTCTGTTATAGTGGCACAAAATAGACTATGACAGGGGTCGACGTAAAGGAATGAAGAAAATCTCCTACGTGTTTACTTTGAGCTACTGTGAGGTAGTGGTACTTTTACCAAGCTCGGGAAGGTTCTCACCCAGCCTCTTCCACTTACTGCATGAGCTTTAGTAAATGAGCTTAGTAACTAAGAGGGAGTGACTCTAACCCCAGTAACTAAGAGGGCAGAAAAACTAGCTCAAGGATCACAAGCTAATACTGATGTGGCTGGGCAGTCATGTACCTAGTGAAGTGGGCAAGAATGTATTAGAAAGGTGGGGTGGGGCTTGTCACAGACTGAGATATGTGCACCTGCCTAAGGGGACAGTCACTGCTCAGCTCAAACTAATTTTTGCCATATGGGAATGGAGACCCAGGATTGCTAGATGTTCTGATTTTTTTTTTTTTTTCTGAGATAGAATCTTGCTCTGTCACCCAGGCTAGAGTGCAGTGGCATAATCTTGGCTCACTGCAACCTCTGCCTCCCGGGTTCAAGCAATTCTCCTCCCTCAGCCTCCCAAGTAGCTGGGATTACAGGCACCCGCCACCATGCCCGGCTATTTTTTGTACTTTTATTAGAGACAGGGTTTCACCATGTTGGCCAGGCGGGTCTAGAATTCCTGACCTTGTGATCTGCCTGACGTGGTGATCTGCTGGCCTCCCAAAGTGCTGGGATTATAGGCATGAGCCACCGCACCAGGCGCTGATTTTTATGAAGAAGCCAGAAATTCAGATTATGTTAAATCTCTAGTTTTTTAAATTCTGGTAATTACCTAAAACGTTTTTAGAAGACTGTATTGGCCAAGACTGTTGGACAAGATCAAATCCATGTATGGGCTGGATTTATCCCCTTACATACTATTTCCACCTCTGGATTAGACAATACCTCCAGCCCTTTAAAGAAAACCTTATAGTGTCTCTCCAGATTGAATGAGAATAATAATGGAAAATAAGAGGATCAAGGAAGTCCCAACTGAAAAACCCAGCATAGTCTTTAACGGCATTTAGCCAGCCCCTGCCTCCATCTACCAGGCATAGTTCTTCCAAGCCTCAGTTTCCCTCAGGCTAGAGCACAGCTCCTCCAAGACTCCTCCCAACTGTAACCTTTGGAGGTATAACATCATCATAATTTTTCGTAACTACTGGTTTTCAAATATGCACAGGAACATTGCTTGGGGAAACATGGAAGGTGTGCTCATATCTGGGTTTGTAAATCTAAAAGGTCTCAGCACTCTCAGTCTGAAGCAAGGAATGAAAGAAGAAACAGAGTGGGATAGAGGTTTAGATGAGAAGCCAGGCAAATTATTGCATGGAAAATTATTTTTTATTGCACTCTGAATAAGGAAAAATGGCAATTAGATGCAGGAGAGCTTAATGGTTTCTACTAAAAATTCATTGTGTTGTAGCCCCTTCTCAATATTTATTACCAAGGGTTTTGCAGTAATGAGATTCTCCTATCATGCATTGGAGGTCAACTGCATTCTAGCATTATTTATTCTTATGTACTGAGCTCATGTAATGAAAAAGGCCTGAAAACAGAAAATCACTCTCTGTGGAGTCAGTCCCTTTTGTTCCTATCTTCTCCACCTTAGACATAATTTAAAGCTAGAGAAATGGCTTATGATTTTATAAATTGCTGGGATTTGTGTAGGGGGGTCAACATGGATTAGAAACAAGGAGACCTGACACTAAGTCCTTGAATAACTTGTTCATCAGTAGAAGGAGAGCTGACAGAAGGTGGCTTCCTAGAAGATTTGTTTCTATTTGTGCTCCACATTTCTTCTGGGGGATTTTTTTTTTTTTTTTTTGTATGGTGACCTGGTAATTCCCAGGGACAGATTCTTTCACAATTTGCCACTCCCTAGCTCCCCCAAAAATCCTTGAGGAAAGGATGTCATCTAAGTTGAGCCTATTGGATGCTCACTCCTGGGACTTTTCCTTTCCTGAAAGTGACAAAGATGAAGAGGCAGATTGGACATGAGACTGCTTGCTTACAGTGACGGTGGTGGCAGCAGTTTCCTGGACTCTTGATCATGAATCTTGCCCAGCCTCCAGAATTTCCTAGATTTCTCTTTCTTAAGTCTGGTCCTTTTATCCGTGTCCGCTACCCAATTTTATTTTGTGAGTCTCCCATCTCTGTTAAACTGTCTTCTTGTGTTAGCTACTTTAGTTATTTCTTTTGCTTTTAACCAAAAATTCTCATGGATCTAGGAAGAAAAGAAACATATTGCATCATATGATCCTTTCCCCAGGGCAACAGTTCAGCACAGGAATTTGCATACAGTTGGATGCACACACGGTGATAGGTACACATGTTCCCTCGCTACTCAGTAAGAAATCCAACCCCATGGGGTGGTGGTGGTAGTGTTTAAAAGGTTATTTGTTTTCTGAAAAGAACCCAAGTCTGCTATTCTTAACAGATTTTTTTTTAAGTGAGCAAGCTCTTACAATAACAAAACCACTCTAGAAATAGCCCTCTCGTATGTAAATTTTGTAGTTTTCAAAGTACTTTCATATAAATTCCCTCATTTCATATGCACTCCTGTGAAGTAGGCAGAATAGATAGTATTCACAGTTTATAGATTATTATAATCATAGCTACCATTTACTGAACACATGTTATGTACCAGGCACTGCTAAATGCTTTATGTACCCATATGCCTATCTTGTTAAGGAGGTATTATTATCCTCATTTTATAGG